GCTGAGCAAGACGATTCGCTATAATGTGTTGGAGGTGGTCACCAAGACGGCCGCGGATAAACTCGGGAAGAAGTTCTCCAAGAACTGAGAAGTCTCACTGGTTTTGATTTACCACGTCTGTTTGTTATTTTGTAATTATTAATTATTAGGGTTCAAGCGGAAAAGTCCGCCCTACGCGGTTTTATGTGGCTGAAGGAATGACTTCGCTTTGTGTGAACACGACGGTTCTATAGAAACACCTATCCATTTGCCTCTATTTTTCATATTAGATTTGTGTTTATCTTCCAAAAGGTATTTTAGGAACACACACACACACACACACACACAGGAAAAATAAAAGCGCGAAATAAAAATACGGTCCGACATCGACCCCAACCCATTGAAATCCCTAATGACCGACAAACCCAGCCCTGACGAGGTGAAGATGGAATGGTTCCAAACCCTGGACTCTGTGAACTTCACCTTTTACGTCCCCAATCGTTCTGAGGGGGATGTCGAAGTCACCTATTCAAACGGCTGTCTTGACGTGGGGATTCAATTGGGGGGCGGGGGCCGGGTTTACCACCACGTCGTGGACGCCCTTTACGCCCCTCTTTCCGCGGATCCGCCCCGGGTGAGTATCCGGCCGATGAAGGTCGAGGTGGGGTGTAAAAAAGCCACCCCCGGCCAATGGGCCGCCCTGAAAGCGGCCGGGGAGCAGTTGAAGTCCTTCCCGGTGGCCGCCCCCGCCGCCGCGAGCCCGGCGGCCTCGAAAGCCCCGTCCGCGGAGAATCTAAATTACCCGAATAGCAGTGGGAAAGATTGGAATAAAATCGTGGTCGATCTCGAGGAGGAAAAGCCGGAGGGCGAGGCGGCGCTGAATAAACTATTTCAACAAATATACGGCAATGGGACGGATGAGCAGCGCCGGGCGATGATTAAGTCCTTCACCGAAAGCGGCGGGACGGTGCTGTCGACGAATTGGGAGGAGGTGGGGAAGAAAAAAGTGGAAGCGCAGCCGCCGACTGGGATGGAGGCAAAACCAATTTCGAATTGAGCCGTGATACCGAAATGAAGGGAACGTTCACTAAGTCAATCAATCCGCTTAGACTTTTTCGGAACGTTTTTCACGTACATGTTTATTTGATCTAAGGTTTGATTCTTTCCAGATTTTTTTACATTATATTTATTTCTTTATTTTAATGGGTGTTTATGGGTTTAAAAGCAATGAAATAGCCAACCACTTTGTCAAAAAAAATACAAACACACGTATTATTTATGTTTCACTTATAATTCTGCGCATATGGAAGGTTTATTTTTATTGGTTTTGCCAAAGTTGTATTCTTTTAGATAACCTAAATGAATTTTATTCTTCAGAACAGAAAGAGAAAAAAGTGAATGCTTAAGTATTAATTCACAAGTTGTATTTTTGTCTTGTATTATAGGAATGGGCTTTAATGCCCATTTATAAATTGAGACAAATGATACCTTTAGTCCTATCCGGCTAATTATTCAAAAATAACCAACATTAGTGGTTAGTAATCCTTAGAGCGCTAAGTTGTCTAAGGTCTCACAAGTGCAATAAAAAAAAAATGAATATGTGCCTTACATATCTTTTAGTAATTCTTTTATTTTCTTTTTCTTTTCCACTTACATCATTCAGGAATAGTGCTTCACAGGAATTAACAACAGCACCACTTTTAGGCGTTCCTTGTGTGGTACAGAGGCAATACTACATTGTTTTGCCTCCGCACTTTTTTTAATTATTTTTGTGATTTAGTTTTAGAAGACTGTGGTTCTTCTCATTATTTTGTTAAGTATTGATTCCTCATGTTTAGACGTCTATAGAAGTATCAATGACTTATCATGATCCACACGAGGAGGATCTGATATACGATATTAAGGAAAAAACATCCGTGAGTACCTTTGTTGAACTTCGGCGTGAGTGTTCACCCGACGAGTATTTTAATATCTGTCATAGGCTGTCTAGTACGGAGGGAATCCTTTTTGACAGTCTGCGCTCCATTCTCTGGAAGGATATGGTGCTGGGGTTAGAGGCGACCCCTACCGTTCCTTATTTGGCCGATACCCTTATTTCTCATACCAAGCTGGAGAATAAGGATCATCACATTAGTCTTCATAACCCTGCCCATGCTTGCAATTCTTCCCGCCAAAGCGATAGGTCGAATGAGCGTTCTGTTGGCTCCGCAGGTTGTAGAAAGGGCGTGTTAGTTAAGCCCTCAGCGAGGTCTATATCAATGCCATCTATATCTGCAGTTCCACGAGGCGAAAGGTACTCCACCTTACGGCGGCGCTCAAACTCGGAGATTGTAAAATCCCCAAAGACCGTTAGGAATGGCTCCACTTCTCTTTATCCCGCGAATGACGACAAAATGACATTGCCTTTTTCCCACTTTCCGTCAAACTGCCAAATCCGGGTTCTAGAGGCCGACATCCAGCGTTCATTGTGGTTATTTTATCCACAAGAGGAAGAGCGCAATCGAATGCGAAGCAACTTGAAAAAAATTATACTGCGAGTCCTTGCAAACAACCCTGATCGATATTACTACCAGGGATTGCATGAATTAATCGGCTTTGTGATGTATGTTCTGTCTCCGATCCTCAGTTCTGAGGAATTGGTATCAATTTGCGAGGGTATGCTGCGAACTCGATGGTGCACTTTTAGCGAAAAAAAACTTCAACATTCCGAGGCACTTCTTTACGCAATGCACGCTGTGATTGCGGAAAAGGCGCCATCGCTGGCGATGGCTCTGGAGAAGTGCGGCGTGGGGCCGGAATCCCACTACGCCGTCTCGTGGATTATCACGTGGTATGTGCACTCTCTGAGGGATCTGAAGGTTCTGGCCCGGCTGTTTGATTACTTTATTACGGACGAGGACGGTATGGCGGTGATTTTCTTCACCTCGGCGTTTGTGATCAGCCAGCAGGGGCGCATACTCAACTGGATCGACGAGGCATCTGCCGAGATGCTCTCCAGCGGATTCGACGAGACCGATGACATTACTGCGATGGCAAAAATCTATTCCCAAATGACAAAAATGCCTTCTGAAGTTCTTGATTTCATGAGTATTGATGAACTCAACAAATTAATTAAACAGGCAACACAACTGAGGACGAATTTTCTAAATGCAATGCACCGTGAACGGGATAACTTTATCAATGGGAAGGTCCGGAAGTTAGGCTTCTTGGCCAATCAGCGCACCCGAAATGCGGCCTTGAGGCTGTTATGGTATCTACTTCCGCGTGAGTGGCGCAACCCTGTGATAAAACGAAGCCTTTTTCAAGTGATGCTCGTGGCAGGGATCGTGGTGTTTATGACGACAGCCCTATTTTGTAGATCTAGACTAATTGAGTCTACCATCCCTCTGTAATGCTAAAGATCTGTGCCGACTCTTCGTTTTTCACCCGCAGAATTTCAGATCAAGAGTCGTTTACAGACACTTTATCAGAATAAATTTCAGTTTTGTGTGTTTGCTATATTTTTTTACTTTTAGATTATTTCCAGTATTTAGTTAATATATTTGCTTAGGAGCGCTATGCGGTTCATTTGAAGTAATGTATAAAAGACTAGACAACTTTTACTTATATAGAGAAAGTTTTGTGTACCTTCATCATGAAATCTTTACCTTTCTTCGTGATTTGATTGTTCTATATTTTTGTGCAAAGTGCTTTTCTTACCCCCTTTATCTATTTATCCCTATATTTAAATATATATTGAATTGATGGTGATCATTCTATAGACAAAGGGCAGATTCTGATCGTACGTTCAAACCCACCTTCAACCATTTCCAACCGAAAACTACGGCTTACCAATACCCGTGTGGGCAGTATGAATGGTTACACCGATTCCCTTGTTTTAGTGGCCACCGTGACGTGGTGGCCGCCCTTTGACCAAATCACGCAGTTCCCACTCAGCAGCCCGCAAACCTTCTTTTCCGCCGTGACACGTGACCCCGCCCCTCTTCCTCCGAAAACGGCCCCCACCCCTCCCCTGCCCTGCTACGCCCTCTCGCGCTTGGGCCACAGCGTCTTCTTAACCGCACGTTGGGCCCCTCCTCCTCCCCCCCCTTCCGACGGAGCGGAGGGCCCGGTGGGGGCGGTGGTGGTCCACGACCCGTTTACCGACCGACCTCTTCTGTTACAAGTGCATTCCCCCCTCGGCCAAGGGGAGGGGGGAGGGAGGGAATTCCCCCTATGGAGGTTGGCACAGGAGGGTAGGATACGAATAGCACCGTTGCCGATTTGGGACTGGGCTCGATCGATGTCGCGTGGGCCCAAACTGGAGGTCCATTTAACGCTATGGGACGTGTTCTACGAAACGCATTGGAGGCGGTTCTGGGAAGGGTGTTATGACTACCTTTGTCATCTCGTAATGAGATGCTATTGCGGTAACAAAGGGGAGTGCCCATCTGCTGCGGATCCTCTCATTCACTATTCGATTCTCATTACCGGGGAGCCGGGGTGCGGTAAACGGGCCCTTGTTTCTTACTTTGCGCATCGGATTCCTCATCTTATTGAGGTGTCTCTTGAGTTTGGTCAAGTCCAGAGGACTGTGCACTACGTGGTGGAGCGCCGCTCACTCGATCTAGCGGAGGTACTTACACAAGATGAAGAAGAGGGAATACAAATCGTGCGGACGGCCCTGCGGCCACCGCTATACGATACAAAAGGTACTTTGAAACCTCTACTACTTCTTTGTTTGTACAACTTCGATTTGCTACTTCAATCCTCTGGAAACCCTCTGACGGATCTTCTCAGCTATGAGTTGAGTGTTTCTCTTGACGAGCTGAATGCAAGCGAGACGGCTGTCGTGATATGGAGCACCTCACAGGACCCATCGCTTGAGGTGAGGCCGCTAAATCACCGCCTGTCCTTCAATCAAATCTATCTTACTAAGCCAACTTCTGCTGAGCGAATGACATGTCTGCGGAGCAAATTAGAATCTTTGAATGTATCACAGGCAGGGGACAGCGGCAAGATACTCCCAATATTTAAACAAGACATGAATGAAAAGGAATGGAATGAGTTGCTGCAATCACTAAATGAGACTTTGGCAAGTTTCTCCACACCTGCACTTGTAGCTTTAAAGGTGTCGGACCTTGTAGAACGCCTGCTGGAGATCTCATCGGAGAGTGCGCAAGATGGCATCAGGGAAGGGAAGAGTTTAAGCTCTTATAACGGATTGATTAACATGGATGATATCATAACCAAGTTGGAGGAGCTCGTAGTCTGGCCACTGATGCACTTAAAGACGCTGCAAGCGTTTCACATCCCATGTGCGAAAGGTGTACTTGTGTGTGGACCCAGTGGCAGCGGCAAAACGGTGTTACTTAATGCGCTGGGCCGTCGTCTTTGTGATGTTCGGAGTCTTCATGTGATGTTCATCAACGGGCTTTCATTAATTGAGAAGGAGGTGGGTAAGTCCGAGAAGAACATCGCAGCGATGTTTGCCACCGCCCGCGCACACTCTCCAACGGCTCTTTTCCTTCATAATTTAGATGGTTTGGCACCTCCGCGCTGCCGGCAATCCAGCGAGACGACGACTGCTACGGATCGAACGTTAAGTACTCTACTAACGGAGATGGACGGTGTGGGTGGCGACACGAACTGCGTTGTCATGATAATTGCGTCTACATCATCCCTAGAGAGTTTAGACCCGGCTGTACGTCGCCCTGGAAGGCTGGATGTGCACGTCACGTTAGATCCTCTTAATCTGGAGGGGGCTGTAGACGCCATTGTGAGCCGACTTTCCAGCTTCTGCGCGGAGCTTCGAAGAAAGCAGTTACGCTGTGGTCATAGTGCGACATATATTAAAGGGGAAACTCATGGAGACTATGATGGTATTCATGATGGACAATTTGAAGCACGAATCGAACGGATAATTACCCAAAAGTCTCAGAAACTTTTCGAGGCGCGTTCCACCTACAGAGGTGCAGAACTCTCCGTGGCCGTGGTTATGGCTACAGCAAGGGAAATCATGCTATTTGTCCTGGAGTCACTTGTCACTAGTATTCCATTCTTTCAAGAAACGGCGCTACCTATTCAAATTGTGGAGGATAAGCTAGCTGAATGTATGGAAGCTGCATTTGCAAAGCTACTTTCACCAAGCAGAGTCTAACCATCACAGCTCATGTAAACAGCGCTTATGAGTCAATACAACAGTGTGTCTTTTATCTTAAAGTCTATAATTTTTTTTGTGTGCGTGATATGAAATTGTTTGGTCCTTACACTACACATGTAGTTGAATCGTCATGGATTGATAAGGAGTGTCTCTAGGAGGTTCTAATTACTTTTCCGAAACATCATCGAGTTTTCTAAATTTCCTTCGTTCTTTTTTTTATCGTAGCGAGTAAAAAGAGAAGTTTTAGCTAAAATAGAAAAAGTGTTAAAGAAAGTGGTTCTTTTTTATCGGTGCTTATGATTCGCATTTTGGAATAGACACAAATGTTCAAAACTACTGAAAAAAACTCCAATTTTGAAATTTCACCAAATAAAACGTCACTACGAGAACGTCTGCGTGCCCGACACGAGAATGCACTTGAAACCTTTAGAAAGTCTATGAACTGCCTCCATGAGGGGGTTGATAGTACTCAAAAGGAAGTTGCACTACGACTTAAGCAAGAGTTAGATAAGAGTCATGCAGTGACAGCTATGATTCTAGCTGCTGAAAAGCACAAGATACATGCGCACATTGAATTGTTAGATGAACACGCCACACGCTGTGAAAACGTCTCAGAGGGTAGTATACTTCCTCCATTCGAAGACCATTTCTTTAGAGCCACGGAAATCGATTATGAAGCTGGCATGGGGCGTATGAAAGAGGAGCGATACTATTTGCTAAACCAAGCGGAAGCCTTACAAAAGCAATACAGTACCCGCGTAGTGTTGATCCAAGGCTCCATTAATGAGATGAAGGAGCACGAAACTCATCGAAAGGATGCCGTCCAAGCCGCCCTCCGCGATGTGATGTTGTCCTTAGCCAAAATCAGCTATTGCAACGTGACAGCCTCCCATGTACTGGCTCAACGCGAGCTCCACTGCGTTAACAATACCATCGCAACCAACTATGAAGGCATCCAGACTCTTTTCGCTCAGCTTAGCTGTCGTGAAGTACTTAAACAGGAACGATACACGGCCGAGATGGCTGATATTTACAACCAGGCACTGGATTGTATGGCCAAAAGTAGCGCGTATTGGTTGCGCGCCTTACTTCAATCGGCGCATTTTCGTCGACCTGTGGAGCGTGAGGAATGCATTAAAAGGGTTTCGAATTTGACTGCCGCGGCGCATACCCATGGTACTCAATTTCTTAGTAACCTCAAAGTCATAATTGACTCTTTGAAGGACATCTCTAAGCCCCCTGCTGGTACAAAGGAGGAGGACTACCAACTCTGCGGTGGCAGTACACCTACTGGCTGGCTGCGGTACTACTGCGGTGAGACGAGTAGTGGCCTCGTTCCCATAAAAAGTTGTGCGGAGGTAGAAGATGAGTGGCGTATGAAGGCAAGTGTGGTAGTACGCAACAATGGCTCCCGCTGTGTTGAGCTGTCGGATAAAGTGCAAAGTATGGAGAATACTCGAGCAGGCGTCGCCGAGTGTTTAAATCAGCTCCTGATGGACATTATTGAGTGGGTGCATACCCCTATGGAGGATGAGATAGATTTGCTTCGACTTGCATCGGCTCCGGAAGCCATCCCTGAAGATTTAAAATGCAATGACGAAGCATCATTTATCAAGGGCGAATACAAGCCCTTCACAAGCATCCGTTCCAGCCGGGCAACTGAGTTGAAGACGGTGTACGGACATTTATTGGAGCCTATTATTACTTCCGTAAAGGCAGAGGCGGATTGGTTCACCAAAGTTGCAACTAATGGGCTGCACAAAAAACAAGACATCTTTGAGCAGTCATTGCTGCGTGCTAGCACAAGCGTGCTTCAGTGGTTCGAAAAAGCATCGGATGCATTAGTACACACTACCAATGGCGTTGTGGGTTACCTACGTGAGTTTTACCAAAAGTGCCATGATGCACGTATGTGCTATAACGATGAGCTGACACAGATAGAGCAGCGGCTCGTTGTGTTGCAAGATCGACTGGAAAAGGCAGAATCTAAGGAAGAGGCCGAGAAACTCTTCAGTGAAGGTTTGAATTGCCTCGAACAAGTAGCTCAACACCACATTCGTTTTCATAACGAAAGCATTTATCAGCTGGACCAAGCAGTGGCTTCCGTGGGGGCGAATACGAATCAGTACTGCTCTGCGATGCTTGATAATATTCGTGTCGAGTCAGTGGAAGAAACGGAGGCCCGAGTTGCCCGGGAACATCAAGCTAAGGTCGAATCTATTATGACCATGTTGGCGCTTCAGGAGCAGCAGCAGAAAGGGAAACGCGGGAACCGAAAGGGAGCTGAGGAAGCCACCAATTGTTTAACTTTGGATCCTGTGACTGAGGACGAGATCTCCGTGGATGTGGTTAACTATCCGCAGTTAACCGCACAGTCTGGGGTAATATATAACATAATTGCTCCCATGCAACTTATTCAGCGGCAGAGTTATGAAAACAATAATCATATCAACACACCTTTGATGTCTGAACCTACGATGGTGTCCGCCGAGTTTGTTTCATGTTATGATTCACTTTTTTCGGAATCAATTAAGAGTAATGCTAGTGGGTTTATTTCAGAAGAGGATGACATTACAGTCTGGAAAGAGGACCTGCGTCTGGGACTGCTCAACTGGACACTGTCGCTTCAGGAATACACAATGGATAATATCAAGGCCTTTTGCCAACGCGCGCGAGGGGATATGTCGATCGAAACGAGCGAGTTTCTACGTTTTCACCGTCGCCGACCTGCAACTCTGCAGGTGCAGGTCTATGAGTCTCGTGTTCGCCACCTCGAGGACGACGCCCACGTGGCAATGAAGTATGGTGTACGCTTACGAGAACGTGTTGCAATAGTGTTATGTGTGTACGAAGAATTTAAGGCAAATGAGGTATGGGCTGCTGAGGACGCTCAAGTGTTAGCACAACTCAAAGAAATGGAGGTGCAGGCTCTAAAAGCGCCCAATGCTTCTGCGTTACAGAGTCGAGAGCGCCAGTATAAAACTGTGTGTATGCAATATGTAAATTGCGTGGAACACCGTTCAGAGGTACTTCTGGATCGTGTAAAGGGCGCCATATCATCTTTAACACTTGAATTAAGCCAACTCCAGACGTCTCACTCGCCACACCTAAGAGATGGTGGCAAGGCGGCAATGGAACGGATTCATGCTGTTTTGAATGAGCTTGAAGAAACTAAGACCAACGTGAGTCATCACGCTGAGATGCAGCGCGAAGAACGCTCTAACACGATTCAGACACTCCAAGTCGGCTACGATGCTGCTCATGCACGTACCACCTCGGAGCTACAGCTTATTACTCGTCTTCAGGAGTGTGCTTCCCGCTTTAGGGTTCAAGTACAATCTTTTATTACTACCTCCAAGACATCCGAGGATGCTTTAAACTGTGATATCAATTTTCTAGACACAAGCCGTCAGCGTGTTCCACTGAGGCCGGATTTTGTGACCACCATCTTAGCGAGCACTCGCCTTGACATACCGATAGCGACTGAGGTAGATATCTCTGAAAAACACAAAACTGAAGGGCGTGTGGAGTCGCCGCTACCAACCACAGAAGTTCTTGTCGCACAACTCGAGCGTGAGCTGCAGATTGTTAAGATAAAAACTCAGCAAGATCTGAAAATGTGCACAGCAACCGAGGTGCTCTCTACTCTTGATGAATTAAGAGAACGTCTCTTCATCCGCGGTGTTATCCTACAGGCCCTCCACCACAACATCGAGATGCTTATTGTTGATCCAGCGCATTACATAGCTCCAAAAATTCCTCGTAGTGGCGGTTCAGACGGCCAGTATGTTTTAAACTCCTCAGCCGGTGTTTCTGAGCGCCCCAACAGTGGTCACCTTGGAGGGGCACGCCGTAGCGGGAAGGGTGTAAAATCACAGGGCGCGACGCATTTCATCGTCCCGGTGCTCGAGCAGCAGCCACTTCCTGCAGCCACCTCGGCTCTCGCGCAGCTAGGGGCATGGGCTTCGGCGTTTAGGGCTGCCGCTATGGAGTCGGCGCGAGCACACTTTGCGGTCTATCCTATGCCCTTGAATCACTCATTACCCTATATCTTAGCGGAAGCCGCAACGGCTGGCCTTGAGCGCAAGCCATCAACTGCGTCCATTGAGCCAGGCTCTCTGGATGAAGTTGAAATGGCCATCAATTCCATGTGTCGTTCCCAAGAAACCCATATCCGTGATCATGTTAGAGAAGCTCTAAGAGTTTATCGCCAGCAACTACAGCTAGCATTTAACATATTGCAGACACTGCCACAGTGGTTGAGCGCATCCGTGTATCACATTTCAGCCACTGCAGTGAACCTCTACGTTCTAAGTGTACTTCAGCGTTTTGAAGCCTTTCACCGACTTTCAACAACTCTTCGTATAGCAAATGACCAAAAGATGAAAGTAACACTCAGTTCACAATCCAAAAAAGATGTATTGCAAGGGTTAATCGCATCAGAGTCCGCTCGTCAGGCACTAGCTATGGAGGTCATAACCCGCTTTTGGGGCTTTGCTTTGCATGGACTTCAGGAAGAAGCAAGGGAACATGCAACGCGATGCTACACTAGCAGCAACAGTCTTATGTCTTTGTTTAGAGGCCTTGTGAGCCCGGCTCACCTTGTAGCCTTGGGTGAAGGTGAAATAGTGGAGGGACACCACCGAGGCCTCAGGTACCTGAAGCAGCTTAAGTCAAAAAATGCTCAAGCTACGTTGCAGAATGAATCACCAGGCAGCAATAATGCATTAAATCGTGATGCTCGTATTCAGGATTCCTCAGCACTCGGAAAGCAGGAACCCTCGAGCAGTCGAAGAATCGTCAACTCTGGCAACAAGGAGCGTGGTCATAATTCTAACCTAGATAGCATGTATGGCGGCAACAAAGTATTGACACCCATCAATTATGCAATGGTGGAGTTTTTGGGTCTTCCAACTTCTCAGGTGAGGCCGCTAGAGGCCTTTTGTGCGGAACACCCAGATTGTGTTGTGGCTTCACCCATGTCTGGGTCCACACATTCCCATTTGCCACCGGTTGAGGACGTTGGCACAGCTACTGCTAGCGGTATTGGAGTCCGTACTGCAGGATCCGTAAAAAAGTCAATCCAACTAGAACAAGTGGTCACTGCTCCTCCAGAAATTCCACGCACTTCACCATTTATCGTGCCGGAGACAAGACTCTTCCGTGAAACCGTTACCCTTGCCCACAAATCAGTTGAGGAATTAAACACGGCCCTGCAGGAAATCATACAGCTTCTGAATAAAGCCTTTCATGGATGGCTACAACGGGAAACTCACTATAAGCAGAATTGGGAGCTATCTGTCAAAACTTTGCACAATGTTAGCGCACGACGATATAGTTTAAGCTCAACTACCGGCTTAAGTTTACCAGAGAATGACAATGCTGAGTAAAATTAAAATAAATTACTCTGGGTCATCTTTGCTTTTGAAGAGCGTGGGAAATGGTAAAATCCACACACCTATATAAATACCAAAGTGCCAATTAGTGTGTATGACAGTATTCTTTCGTACTTTTCATGCATATATATATATATATCATTTATATTTCGCGCGTTTATTGCTTCCTCTTTATCTCTTTGCACATTCAGTATTACCGCTTAGATAAGGTTTGAAAACTATTACTACTTATTTATTTGTTGTAGTGATTGGTTATATCATGTTTTCGATGAAGAGGTGACGTGGATATGTTACTCAGATATTATGTATCAACTATGTTGTTTGCTTATATGTAGATGTAGATTCAAATGGGGATGTTTGTTCACCTGTTCCTTTCATTATATTGTAACGTATACCTCAAATCAACTAAATGATCCTTAAGAAGCTTTTTCTCTTATTTATTTTCATTCCTGTACTTTACTGATAGATCATTATGTACAGGGGTAGATGTATTGTTCTTCTTTTTTCCCTCATAATTAATTACAAGTCCATTATACTTTATTCCAAATGTACAATATCGAAACTTTATTAGCCTCTCTTCAATTAATATTAGTTGAATGTCAAAATTGCAAATACACGACCCTACACTATACTGATTATCTACACCTTCTTCAAGAGCTGAAGGAGCATATTATTGAATTGCGGCAATCCCCTCAGAAAGGCCAGACAGTAATCCAGAATGAGCTTCTGGTACGTGTCGTTGCTGTTGCCATTAAACATGCTATTTCAGGCGCGCTGCCATGGATTGTAGTACTTACGTGGTTAGATCTCTTAGAGAACCTATTAGAGTATGTACAGGGGGATATCCGTATCAGTAACCTTGTGCCCGGGCTGTGGAATACAATTATAAAGCATTCTAGGGATAACAGCGGTGTCACTTCTACAGCACTTTGTGCTGAGCTACGAATAATGCAGCTGTTGTTAAAATATGCCCCAGTAGTGATGAAGGGAGCCTCACGAAAGCACTTGCCTCACCCGGTAAAGAATAAATCTGTTGCGATACGAGTGTGTGGGTTTATCTGTATGCCATGGGTCGTGGCGAATCTCCCATCCTCAGCACTCAGTCAAGAGTTTCTCAGGTATATACAGAGAGGCCTAACAAGTGGTATATGGCCAGTGCAAGAAGCAGCTATGGAGGCTGTACGAACTATTATGGAGTTAGGTGTAGACATCGACGCCACTATGGGGAACCAGCTGATAGAGTTCCTTGCTACCACGTGCAATGGGGCCCCTTTTGCTTCTCTAAAGTCTCAAGAAGACGCAGGGATCGCGTTAGGGTATCTTTTACTGCTCAGTCAATGTGGCTTCAGGCATCGAAAAGTAACCCCAACGGTTTCATGGGATAAGGAGCTCTCGTGGAGTTGGCTGGGAGGCCCAACCCCTGATGAAGCGCATCGCGTTACGCGCTGGCTTTTCCATTCTCACATGTCGCGCGCGATGCAGCAAGTCCTCTCGATCGCCATTTCCGTTTTTTTTCGTATTGGGTGTAGTAATACCACTATGAGTGAAGCACTGCGCTCTGCTTTTGTACTCCTTGTTTCCGTACCAGGGGATTCGCGTACTTACATGCCCCTATTGCTCGCGAATGCCCTGAAGAACTGGGCATTGCAGTTGCCAACCCACAGCCACCGTCTGGCTTTGGTGAACTGCGTACGCACATATGTACGGAGCATTAACGAGGATAAATCGGTGGTGCGCACGGCTGTCATTGCATTGGATGCAATCGTGCCGATCCTTGCTTCATCACGAGAATTGAACGTCGGCCTTGAGAAAGATTTACTTCTTGCATTAGAGACCTACCCATCTCTCCTCGACCACGTGAGCAACATTCTAGGCGTCATGGGGACGCAAATCCCTGACTCGTTTTCTCAGTACAGGTTGCTGCACAGTTTTGTTCGGTCAGGCCAGTACATTTCGTATACCAAAAGTGGTGAGCTCTCATACGACTTTGTTCTATGGACTAAGGCAGTGCTTGTTGCCCTTCGGGAAAGTAAGGCCGATGGCGAGGCCTCAGTCGCCATGATAGGGCCTATCCTTACAGTGGTTTTTCAACTAAGTTATACTGAGCTTACATCCATGCCTTTAGAAAATGATAAATTTAAGAGAGCTGAGCTCTTTTTTATGTTAGCAAAAGCGTTCCTTGAGTGCTATTGCCAGTATGTTTCTCGCTTTGTAAAGGCGCAGCTGGAGTTAGCCGTGAAACGCCTCATGTTCTTTTTAGTCAACGCTCCTTCCAAGTCCTCCGTGTACTGCCGTGCAGCCTGCGCGGCATGCAGCCTGCTTGCAAGCAGCAGTTTTTGCGACCTACCCACAGATATGCAACGTATGCTATGTATTGGATTGCTGGAAATCCAGCTAGTAGAGACATCCTTACCTGAGCATGAGTCGTATAACCCATCGAAAACTGACAGTAATCTTTTCCAGAGGGATATACTCAAGCTGAAAGGGGAAGTCTACAATGTCATTGCCAAGGGTCCATGGCAGCCGTGTCCGGATGAGGGAAGCGTTCGGTGGCTCGTAACCAAAGCACTCAACGACTTTGAGAAAGCGTGCAAGGATAGTGTGCCGGTGTGGTTAGAGGACAATAAACTTTTCCCTTCTGCGGCAGCCTCATATTTGCGAAACACTCGTTGCATTCTTCCAACAAGTGTAAGCATGACTTATGCCAAAGATTTTGAGCGAGCAGTGGTTCTAATTGGTTGGGGCTTCCATCATTTCGCATCTGTCAACACAACAGAAGGTCGTAGCTTCTGTTGTGAGATTCTAGAGCGCCTACAGGCGATTGCATCGACGCAAATAAATATTAACATATTTTATGCGTCACACTCCACCTCCTCCAGGAGTAGTAATCGGACAAACCATGGGTTTGCAGATGCTGATACTATCACCATATGGAACCTTTTGGTGTGTTGGATCACGGTATTTGACAATACCTTAGGGAAAGGCGTGGAATCGTCTTTATCTGATCTCTTTCGTACAAATTGGACCACAGACTTTTTGTCAAGCTTACAGGAAATTGAAAGATTCAGCAGCAGGTGTATTGATTCAAATATTTTCGACTTAAAAGTGCTTGCATGTAAGGTCCTCGGATTCACGTGGTGTCTGTTGGAACAAACTGATTCTATCATCGCCAAAATGACCCAAGAAGATTTTCCCAGCACCGACAAGATATTAGCCATGGTGGAGATGCACGCCTATTGTACTCTCACAGGTAAATCCACATCAACGCTGCCGATGATTATTATGCTTGCGAGCGTGTTACCCCAACATCATTCTTTACCAAATGATCCGTGCACGATCTCTGAACTTACTATTCTCATCATCTTCATTCGTCTTGCTGAGGTTTGCCATTTGGAAAGTGCGGAGCGACTACTAGAGGCTTTAGGCAACTGCTTTCTTGCACCTATGCCTCCCTCTATTGACCCCTTGGTGCTTTCTCTCAGCCTTGTCTTCTTTTCACTGTTATCTCATGAGGCTGATACTTTCAAACAGGATGGGATGTCAAACTTTATTACTGCTTGTATGAAACACGCTGTGACATTAAAACGACCACCATATCAAATGGATGAAATCCAAGATGGCGCTAACATTAGTCTTGTAGGAAGCATGCTACACCATTATCAAACTTCAATGTCACCTTCAAATCCAAACAAAGTTGATATGTATGATGTGGTTTCAGAGCGATTGTGGAAATTGATATACAATAATAGCTTTTACAATAGCAATAATCCTAACGAGGCGACTTCTTTTCGGAGTTTTCCCGTTAGAAGAGCTGTAGTGGTGCGCCATCTCTCCGATCATTTTTTACGACACTCGGCTCAACTTTGGGTCCAATACCATGCAGAGATGTTTACAGGAGATGTTCAGATTCAGATGAATTTATTAGATGTAGCGCGGCTAGTGGATGCTACTTCAACGAAAGAAACTCGAAAAGTTTGGCTCAAAGTGGGCCAAATCATATTTCAACATCAAATGGACACCACCAACACTCAAAAGTTATCAGTTTGTCTGCGACTCATTCAAGAAATTCGAGAGTTGATGTTAGCGCGTTCACCTAATTATACCACAGACACTCCTCAGTCAGTTAGGGGGACATTTACTGTGAAATCGCACAGCCATCGTGACAAGATCGACGGTTCTGATGATTATGAAGGTGAACTGAGCTTTTTGGGAACGGATACATTGAAAGACGACCGAGTGAAGAGATCCAATAAAATAACCAACAATGAAACCGGAATAATGCGGCGAAACCCTGGTGATACAATGAGTGATTTACCTGCTAAGGAATTCGCATTACTTATGCTTGCTTGCTTACTCCCACAGCTTCCGACGACCGCCGTGGAGGTGCATCACGCTTATCTGAATCTCGTAACAAAATCAGGCTTTTTGGTGGAAACAATTCCAGATCTTTTGGGATATGCTACTGACTTGCTTATAGATGTCCTAACTTACTACAATGACAGCTATGGGGTAGATCCTGAGACTAAGCAATCATTTATAATTGAACATAAAATTCCATTGCTTTCGTGTGTAAAAACGCTCATACGACTTTCTGTATTTCGAGTGGCGAGGGGGTGTGAACTAGCAAGAGTTTTTCTTCATAGCAAGCTCGCCGATGGTGCTAGTGTACTGCGTATTGTTCAAAGCTTGTCGCTGCTTTTGACCACATTGGACTCTTTAAATAATGACGACAGTACCCTCAATAACATACAAAGCCACAACGACGAGGTGGCTATGGAAGAGTACAGCTTTATCTTTCCAAGTCGGGCGTCTGGGCTTGTGACGTTAGAGCTGTCCCGAATCGCGGACTACGCGGAGTCTCGTGGCTGGACGGAAGCGGCCTGTGACGCTATGCGCAGCCTTTACTCTCCGGCCGGACAAGCAGCTCTTTTTTCCTTGTGTACATATTTTATTTCATTAGTGTCCATGTTCAATAGCTACCAGGTCCCACCTATGTTGATCCATTCTGGACCACCAGATGTCGATCTCGGGTTTGTGAACGTGGATGCGGTGCTTGCGGCTGTGATGTGCGTAGCGCAGAAGGGAGGAGAGGGTGCGCAAGGGCTTGGCCCCGGGCTGCGCTACGCGGTGGGCTGTCTTTGCTGTATTCTGATAGCTACTGAAGGCGCCCACTTACACATACTGCCAGTCTTGGCTGGGAAGCTTCTGATTCTTCATCAAGACATCCTCTCACAGGTAGCGTACTGTGCATTAATAGATAACGATCTAGAATCGGTGCCCAACTCGGATGTTTTTCTACTCTCTATCCTGGCTCAAACCAGAGGTGTGGCGGCAATAAATGCCCACGCAGAGAACTTGATAAGCTACTTTGAAAAGCGGTACTCCTCAGCAGCAGAACCGCTACCTATCACAGTGATAGAATCTTTATTACATTTGTTTTTCACCGTCAAAGATGACCAACTTGCGGCGCTGGAGTATATATCAAAGCTTCTCACCTTGCTTCCACTGGACTACCTGTTGTTGTCGCCATCTGTAGGTCTTGTCAAGGCCGCATTAGACTTCTGCCGTTCTATCAAAGTCGATCAGTCATTCAGTCTTCAACAAAGGACCGTATTCGAGAAATTGGCTTGCTCAGGGACTAGTGGGCTGATTTTGAGCGAGCTACTGAGCAGATATCACTATCAACAGGCGTTATCAGTAACTCAGCACACCTCATGCTGGTGCTCCATGATGGAGACACCGGAGCCCTCTCATCACATTGCCCAGCTTCTTCTTCAAGCGTACGCAGAAACGGATGATCCCTTAGCGCTGACGGCATGCCTTATTTCACCCACCACTTCTTTTGTGAAAGCAATAACCATCATAGCGGTGATCGCAAGTGCTGAGAGTGTTGACATGTTCATCAAATGCCATAGATCTCTGTGCTATATTTTTGAGTTTCTGCTTTTTTGCGCCACACCAAGCGATGGGATATCTGTACAGGAACGTATTAAGGTCGCCATACAGGTACTCATAACTCTTCTTACGAGTGGACCACACCAGCACTTGATCCCGTTTGCACTTCGGTCGGTTGGCTCAAGCCTTGTCCAGCGGGTCGCTAAGGAGAGTCCAAGGGAGTTTCGCGCAGCAATACAGCCACTAGAGAGGGAAAAAGTCATGATGCTTCGAAATTTCATGGAAACATCGGTAGTGTAGCCTAAGCTAATAAGGTCATGAGGTTGTGTACCAAGTGCAGTTGTTATGATCTGTTATCTATAGTTTATAGTGTAGGGTGCAAGCAAATTTTTAGATTTGCTCAGTTTGAAAATTCTCAACCTGTTTAGATACAGGTATTTGTTATTTCATTCTTTCGATGAACTTTGATAGAAACAGAAGTTAAGAAAAAAAAACGTATGAATCATCTGTAAATCAGTAACTTTGCTTCTAAATGAAGTTTAAAGAAAACAAACATTGTTATTATTATCGTAAAGCTTACTTGCAGTAAAAACTACTGGATTTCGAACTCTGGATTTTTTTAGGTTGTGGGAACTCATTCTTTAAGGGGCTTATTTTTACCCTTTAAAATAGCACGGTCGTTTTTCATGGCTATACAGTCTTTTTCTCTTACGCGTATTGATACCTTCCTTTGTCTCTATTTGTATCATATTTTTAAATCCATAAATATTTATTTCAGAGAGGCCAAAATAATGATTTCCATACTTAAGTTTTCAGCTTTTTTTTATTAGATGTGAGAAAATAAACTAATGCTGCAACCTATGTGGACTATTTTATTGAGCAATGCCGATTAAGTAGGTGGGCGAATTGGTTTACAACCCCTCAAGATGGCCCCTTGACATTTTCCTTATGTTTTTGCCTTTTAGCACCTTCGACATCTTTGCGGTGCAAATCAGTGTCCTTGGCGAGTTTCGGTACCATAGAGCGTACACACAAAATGGTTATCAAATTCCAAATATTCTTATGTGTCCGATACTCAATGCTATGCATATCTCATTTGAAGGATATTCGAGATAGTGATATCCAACAGCAAAGACTTTTCAACTATGAAAAACTGCCCCTTTTGTAGTTCAAAAACCTTCAGACTTCATGGGTCTTGCTTCTCTCTGAGGTCCCCTAGGCCAAGCGGAGAAAGATGTGTGTACAACCGTCCGAAGACCTCTAGTGGACTAAGGTTGTCATAAAGATTCTGATCGTCACTTTGGAAGACACTTACCTCTTGTATAGTGGAACCTGATAATTTAGGGGTAAAATATTTCAGATAAGTACGGATATATATATATATATATATTCATGATTAATTTTAATCGAAACACGCGTTGCACATTTTTTTTTCTATTTTTGCTTAGTTTATACTGCTTAATTTTCTCAGAATAAATTCAAAAGAAGTAAAGCAAAAAATTGATAAAGCGTATATCCGTGTATACAATTATAGGTAGTTTGAAAGCAAATTACTTGCCTTTTTAGTGACTATACTAAGGCTAGTAATTTGCGCTTTTAAACATTTTATTAACAGAAATCTATTAAAGAACTAGCAACAGAAATAACTCTTCCATGAGTATGATATTACCAATAGTGCGTGATGTCGCCGTAGACTGGGCCAGCCTCGTAAAAGGTGCCTTTGAGGAAATTCATATTAGCGTCCCGCGCTCCGTTGAAGACTCCTTGATGGCACTCAATACCTATGCCAAACTTCCACCCTCCGCCTTTTCTCATCTCACGACCGGACTCAAGGATGCGTGTGTTTATTGCGCTTTGCTCACATCGCTTGATCAGTCCATTACGGAGTGGCCGGTCGCCCTTCAGCGCAGAATGTCTGCCGCCTCCATACAACGTGGAGGATCCAAAATCACTACCTGTAGGCCATTAGTGGAAGCCGTCATCGTGCTGTATAATGCCGCGGTGGCAAACTTGGAGGGTGGTATGTCGAACCTTGCTCGAATACACGCGGATGCCTCCCAACGTCATCCCGCAATGGACACGCGAACGACGGTGCATCCCAATGTCAACGCCAAGAATGCCTATCGCCACTTCCAGTATGCCCATGTGTTGAGCATCGACGTGATGGGGTTCCTTTTTCCGTTATTGGAGTGCGATGGTGCTGTCACACGACCAACTCTCTCCATCTACGAAACAGTCCAGCTGAAATCTCTACTTGAGGTTGAGGAATTGCAAGCGCTTGTGAGTTTGTGCATAGCGGTAGCAAAGTACGTTTTTGCTCTCAACGATTCGATTGGGGAAAAGCTAGATGTGCTGGCGAAGCTCGCCTTTGCAGGGGCTTCGCTTCAAATCCCGGAGTTGACCGCCAGGGGGTTTCCCGAGATTCGCCTGCTGCCGAGTTTCCTCTTGGTTGCCTATCACTGCCACCAGGCGGAGTACTACTACAAGGTAACTCCCAAGCTACCGGACATGGCTCGTGCGCTAGGTCACATATCCTATGCCGACGAGATTTTGTGTGGAATAGATAAGAAAATCAAAAGTGGTAACTTCCAAAAAGATGACTGGAATGATGGCAGCAAAGTAGCAAAAATGACATTATCGTTGGGAAAGCTTTTGTGGCGAAAGTTTGTTGGGGATCGAAGCAAAAAAGAAACCAATGGTCCTGAAGGAAGGTACCTCATCGAAGAGATGGAGTCTGATAATGAAATATCCCATCGTGCCTCTGTTTATAACAATATACTCCGATTTCTGTCCGAGAATGAGTGTAGCCTGGTACGTATCTTACCAGCAACAGTTAGTATTGTGCGCCGTGTCTATGAGCTCTACAAACAGTATCATCATGAAAACCTGGCAGTCTATCTGACAAAGCCACTTCCTACAGATATAATTAAGTTAGACTCGCCGGATTCAGCTGTAGTGGAGTTGTCTTTAAACATACCCGGGATCGAGAGCAGTCGTACTTCGCCGTTCACGTCCTTTCTTCATCACAACACCTTCAAGGACATGCCACAAGAACAGGAGGTGAATGTTGCTTACAGTAAGAAAGAAGTGGTGAAAGCGCAGGAGGACAGCATGCTTGAACAATGCATGGTGATTGAAAATATTGTAGATGAGCTGCGTGCAGTCCAGCTACCCCACGAGGTGCGGCTGTGTATTGAGGCGATGGAGCCTTGCTTGGAAAATCACATCGGCTCCGTCGCTGCAGCCCTCCAGATCGCTGAGAGGACTTTGCATGAAGCATGGAAATGGCACGAGGAGGCCGTGCAGTTATGGATGGACACTAGGAAAAAGTGTCTTGCAATGAGAGGGGTAATGGGCCTCCATGAAAGAACGCTCGAAGCCCAAAAAGAACTTGAGGAGTGGTGTAAAAATCTCAAGGATGCAGAATCAGATTGGCTTCGATTCATCGGCCCACTGGATTTTGGTGCCGACATCGAGAAATTGATCCGGCTGCTTCTGCCGGGGGACTGTCGCGGTACCCGTGAATATATTCTACAAGCAGAGGGTGTCGTCGCCGAAACGCGAAGAACCCTGCAAACTGCCTCAATCCCCATCGCAGGTACGCGCCGAATTACCGCCCCAGAGCTTTCTTCTTTTCAGACCGTGCAGATGGAAAATACACAAGCGAATTTGAGGAAGCTTGCCTCGCAAGGGGAGCGGCTGCTAGCGCGACTTAGGGAGGTTATGGAGCAATCCAATTGGTGGGAAAAACGACAGGCGGCAATGCGATGCGTGGTGCTGGTGATATGGAGTGCTCCAGAGCTAAAGAACAAGCTAGCTGGGGCGACCCAACTTCTGCAGGATGAATGCGCCAAGCTAAACAACGCGCCTTCTGATTTTGGAAGGCACGTTGGCCTCGATATCGCAACTAATGCGAACGTGGATAGAGACCTGACTCCTTGGAAAAGGCGGTCGAAGGTTTCTTCAACACATGAAAGTAGCAACGACACTTTGTGCTTCGGGAATTTCGTTGATAAAAAAAGGCATCGAAGTGAGGAAACATCGTCATCACACGCTGGCGAGGGTGTTTCTTCTACTGGGGCTCAATCGACCATGACGAGTATGGGTATTAAGACCACTAATGAGTCATTGTCGTCCATGGAAGCTAAGGTTAGTAATTCGTTAAAGAACAGACTTAGGAAAAATCGAGAAGCCTTGTAAAATGGAAAAAATACACCTGTTAAAAATAAAAACACTAGGGCTTAGCGCACGGTATCATCAAAATGAATATTCTTGGACGTAAATTTTGTTAAATATATCAAACAGAAAAAAAGTATCTGAACTTAACCCTAATGCACTTTGTTAATCTCTTTTGAAAACATGTGAATAGAGTTGAATAAATTCCTGTCATGGAGTGTTGTTGAGTTTCTGATAGTAAATTGCATTTACTTATACACATGTTTCATTTCTTAACTTCATTTTTATACCAAGGTGGTGACAACACGCTTCCTTGGATCTACCACGCGTGGGTCTATTGTATGTGGAAAATGGTAAAAAAATATGACTGTCGGATTTTGTATATGCGCGTTTCCTTATGTATCATTTTACTATTAATATTATTTTACCCATTTTTTAAATGAGATCATTAATCCATATAGTGAGAGTATAGTCATCATGGAAGGAGCATGGGATCTTGCCTCAAACTCCCTCATAGAAAGAAATATCAGTTCAAAGATTTTATTCTGGAAGTGTATCCAAGTAATTCAAGTGGAAAACTAAATCAAGATGCCCTTCATCATCTTAAGAGTTATGTTGGTAGTAATCCAGAGCGAGTTGCGCCTGTATGTCGCAAAATTTACAAACTCATGTGTTCTCACCTGAGGCATAGGAAGTCCAATAATGTAATGGTGTCTGTAGCAATGTTACAGTTTCTTATCAAAAATGCGTCAGTAGTAGATAGATTTGTGTCAGACTGCATAGAAATCGTATCGGTTTTGTTGTCCACACACGAACCACGCTATAAAATCGAGGCAGCTGGTATATTAAGTATTCTTTGTCATCGTCTGGTAATTGATAAGAATGGAGCGAACTCGCGCCGGCTTATAGCCGATAGCCAGGACCGTTTTTTGAAGCCTTTGCAGCAGATGTGTGTCGACGGGATACCTGACATCAAAGATCACGGTAACATTCAAAGAAGTTACGCTGCTATCATTGCTCTTGGTCATATTTCTAGGTGTCTGGGCAGCTCCAGCACCGAGCATGTCGCATCACGCCTATTTCCTATCCTAGAAAACCTCGTATCGGTCCTGCGGAGCCGTCCTCAGGGGCCTATGGAAGAAGTAACCATAGGGCAGCAAATGAACAATAGCAATTATATTGTTGATCCACCCATCAGTGTGGAGCTGCCGGAATCCGCCTCAAAGGACATGGATATTCTCTATGTGCAGGCATGCAGCTTTGCGGTCAGCACGACGGCAGGCTGTGTCACTACCACAGGTATTGAAGACCTCCTCACGCGCATTACCGCTTTCATGACCACACAAAAGGCTTGGTCGGTACCAATAATGGCGCCTATTGTGTTCTGTGCGCTAGCGGCACCAATGCAGGAGCGCCCGATACGACCAGAATTCATGGTTTATAGGGGGCTGTGTGAGTTGGGCATCAGGAGCAACGATATTGCTGTCCATATCGGCGTACTAGGCGCACTGAAGGCTTACCTTGAACGTATGTCCGTGAGCGACAGCAGACCACGATCCATTGTAAAACTTATTCAAGCCGTGATAACGAATTCACTTCTCCAGAGATATGCATGTGACCACGAGCGTTTAGTGCGGGACATGCAAAACGCGGTGACTGAACTTATTTTCACTCTTCTTCAAGTCATTTACCACCAGCGACAGGCCCTCGAACTGCAAAGTGTCGTAGAGTCTGTTCTGTGTATGACTTTAGGGACAGGTATCATGGAGGGGGGAGAACTTGCACAGAAAAGGAGTCGCACAGATTGGATTTTTATGCTCCGCTGCATGACTGTGGTTTCACCTTACGTGCGAACGGTTCCATCATCAGATCGCGCAAAGGGAGTGCTAAAGGTTGGTGATGCTATTGTGTCTTTTCTGTATGACAGCGATGATGCAGCGCGTATATGGGCGGTTCGCATACTGCAACAGATCTTGGCTGGTACACCAACCGGGCGAGGCGCATTGATCGATGAGCCGTCCATGCCACTTTACGTCGATGAAAGGGATGCCACTATTGCTAGGAATTGGGTTCATGCGATGATGTGGACAACGCGTGAGATCACCCCGCAGTGCGTCGTGCAGGTTGCCGATGTTACTACTGCTATCATGACTGGGCGGGGTATAAAGGAGATTCCCTTTGTTTTCAATTTGCTCTGTCGCTTACAGCAACGGTGCACGGACATAGACTCACATAAGGAATGCGACTGTAGTATCTTGTCCAACCCAGGGATGATGTCCGCTCTAACGCGAGCATGGCTTCATATGATTGTTGTGCTGTTAATTAGCTGTGGTCGTGTGTACAATATCCCTAGACTAGTAGACTATGTCACTGATATATTTCACCAGCGCCAGGTGGCATATCCATCGGAATTATCGAGTCATTTCGAGTCAACCCTGATCAAGAGCTACGCTTTTGAAGACCTTTGCCCAACCAGTGGCCTCAAAGTGATTGCCGCTTTGGATGGCAAGAGTATCATTCTGAACGACGACCCCTGTGAGGGACCTGTCAAAATATTGCCTTCATTTAGCAGAATTAACAGTCTTATTGTAGAAGCCGAACGCGACAAAGTGGCATCTGTATTTGGGGCCACCGCTGGCGACGCCGCAGCGCGTGAGCTCCAAGTATCTATTGATCAAACCTATCTCCACTCTGACAACAAACTTATCGAAGGAAGCTTTCTGCTGAAGAGCCTTCTGCCGAACTCAACGATCTCATCTACAGAAGCGGACATTGATGTCCCTTTCACCCTCCAGGTTCCAGAGGCGCGTATCGCAGAGTTGCGCTCTATCAAAATAACTCTGGTTGACAGTGTTTCTGAGGTCATGCTCCCGCGCGTGGAGTTGCCTCTGAAAAGTGCTTCTAATTCAAATCAAATAGCAGAAATTTTAGATACCTATGGTGTGAGTGCGTCATCAAAGATTTTTTCCGTCGACACTTCCACTACGCCGAAACAATTTTTCTCGAGAGACGGAGTCCAGGAGGGTCCAAAAGAGCACGAAACCATTCATAATGAAACCGTTCAGTCCGATACTCATCATGTAATGTCGTACAATATGGCGAACGACGTTCTTACCGGTGCTGAGGAGACTTCAGGCCTCTGTCAGAAGCTTGAGTTAGATGGTGACAGTAGCAGCGAAGCCTTTCTTATGGATATCCCAAGTATCCATCAAGGAGTTCAGGAATATGAAGACCTTGCGCAATTACCCCCCATTAACCGAACCTTGTGGATTTCATCGCTACCATCAGCTCGGCTTTTTGAATTATAGTCCCATGAGACGGAGGTTTTTGCTTTGCTTTATCTGTAGAATATGGGGATACGCAAACTAGCGCTTATTCGTTCAGAAAAGCATTGGCACTACACACAAATTCCGTCTCACATATGTTCATATACATTAAGGTCAGCATCATTACTGCCACGTTAGATTACTGGAAAAAAAAAGATATATATATATATATATATATTCTGGTGGAGGAGTCCTCTTTAATGTCTGCAGCGTCTTCTTGAATAGTTTTCTAGCCACTTAATTAAGACGATATAGTAATTCATGCAAGCCGACTTACTCTTCCCATTCTCCCATCACAGTAGTGCTTTTACATTACATGAGTAATTAACCCATTGCCTTAATTTTTATTAATTCCTTCCATTCCCCCCTATGTTTGTTGCTAGTAGTAGTAGTAGTAGTATCACTTTAGGGTGATTCAGCCGCGCGTTGATATGTACTCACCTTTCGAACTTATAGATGGAGAACAGGTGGATTTGCACATATGCTCATCTATAAACTCCCCCGAAGGCGTTGCCATGGCTTACTTTAAAGGTAGTAAAGTCAAGGAGTGCGTTTTACGACCCTGCACGCTACTGCTTTCAGAGTACCGTATAATGCTATGGGTGGACGGTGACCCAAAGTGCACGGTTAATATTTCTCTTTTGGCTATTGATCGATGGAGGATTCAACCGGCAAGCCAACAGGTTGTCAAAGCATTTGAGATTATCCAGAAGAAACAACCACGAACAGTAACGTCGTCGCCACAGTCCTCATCCGCTTCAGCCCCTTTGATGCTGACGCTTAATCTCAAGCATGTGTGGACTCACCACGTTGTACTTCCGAGAAACCTCATGATCATTCGAAACATCCAGGCACGTCTCACAGCTTGCGCGAATACCCTAAGGCTCGATCAACTCCCCGCCTTCACACTAGAAACCCGTAAGCAGCAGCGTGCGGCGACTGTTCCGGAGCTTGGTGAAGATATACAGCTTAAGGATGACTTTGGATGGTGTTTGTGGAATCCTCAGCAAGAATGGGACCGGCTCCTGTGCATGAACCCATCGGAGGCGGTGCCGGACATCCGAACAGCTGTGGTGGGCAAAGACTTGCGGCCTTGGTTTCGCCACATTTCGTTGCGCACGAACACAAACAACGATGATCCCTCCGACGACAATGTAGCGACGCTCTACACCTCCTCGCCAACATACCCTACGGACGTCGTGGAGCCAATGGAAGTTGGCAGAACCCTGGTTCTAGGTGCCATGGCTGCACGTTCGAAGGGTCGCTTCCCCGCGCTCTCTTATGTCCATCTTGCCACCGGCGCAGCTTTGGCCCGTAGCTCGCAACCACTGTTGCGCTCGCGGCAGCTATACCTTGATATCATTTTATGTCAGGCCCTTGTCAACCGAGGCTTCAGCGAAGCTACCCCGGCCTCTGCTCGAACCACGTCTGCTATGCTGGAGCAACCCACCTTATTTGCGTCGCCTTCCTCACCTCCTGCTTTCGTACCTCCACCTTCACTCTTTGAGGAGCATCGAATTGGTGGGTCCTCGACACAACCGCCGTGCAATCCTAATGATGGCGTTTCCTCATTTCCTAGTGGTGTTTTGAAGGTAGTGGACTGTCGGTCGTTGCTCAGTGCAAAGGGCAACGCCCAGTTGGGCGGCGGTTATGAGTCCGGTCCGCAGTACAGTTTCTGCTCCACAGAGTTTTACCACATTGAAAACGTCATAAGTGTGAGTAAATCCTTCGATAAGCTCCGTGCGCTTGTCTCGTGCTATCAAGGTGACAACGCCGAGGAGGGCTTCTACAAGTCGCTCCATGATACCCAGTGGCTGTCCCATATCCAGCGCATCCTGGTCTGCTCGTCCGAGCTGAGCCAGTCCATCGCAAAGGGGCAGTCATGCTTGGTTCACTGCACAGACGGCTGGGACCGCACCGCGCAGTGTTGTGCCACCGCCATGCTTCTGCTAGATCCCTTCTACCGCACCACGGCGGGGTTTTGCATGTTAATCGAGAAGGAATTTTGCTCCTTCGGTCACAAATTTGCAGAGCGCAGCGCGCATCAACTCCCGGGGCGTACCTCTTTTGCGACTCACTCGGATGTAGGTGCTTTAGATCCGGAGACCCGAGATAACAATGGGAAACTGGAGGCGTCACCCATCTTTGTTCAATTTCTGGACGTAGTGTTCCAGGTGCTGAGGCAGTTTCCTGATGCCTTTGAGTTCACGAGCCAACTCCTAGAATACCTAAGTGAAGAGATCTACTACGGCTTCCATGGGACATTTCTTTGCAATTGCGAACAAGAGCGTGCGCTAGAAGGTGTGCGACTCTGCACACGATCCATCTGGACTGACGTTTTGCAGCGTGTACAGTCCGAGAAGCGTGGTGAGTCGCCACTATGTTTTGTGAACGCACAGTACGACTACGAAACGAGTTGGGCGGGCATCACCAAGCAAAACCCTGAATCCGGTATTATCAAGCCCATCTGCAACAGCAGGTATCTAGTCTTTTGGGACGAACTTTACTTCAAAGCGGACCTCGACAGGTGCGTGAAGCGCGAAAGGGACGTTAAGAAGAAACGCGAACTAACGAGGGTTCTGTCGTGGGGATCCGATTTTGACTTCTTCTTGGATGAGTTTATCCAAGGGGCTCGCCGCGAGCGTGCAAATGAAATCCCGAAGCTGCAGCGAATGGAAAAGATCTTTCAAACCTCGGGTCCCATTACGCAATCGTCGGCGCATAGCTCCTGGTGTACATTTGACCCTGACATATGCTTTGGTTGTTTTAAAAACATTGGCATCTTTGCGACCGCCGCGCATTGTGACTCTTGCAAACACAGCTTTTGTATGGATTGTGTTGTCCATGTTTGCGTTGGCTGACCTAATGGGCACTCGTTATCTATCACAACAATACGTATGCTCAGAATCTTTTCTTTTTTATCTATTTTCGTTGTATTTTACATTTTAAACCTGGTTGCGTGTCTGGCAAATTAATCGCTTTTATAGCTCTTTTTTCTCTTTTTTGCCTCTCTTTTTTTTTTCATAACTTTTAACAAATTTGACTCATTCTCTAATACGTGGAAGGCGTCGAGCGGGGTGAAGTTGTGGGGATAAACTGAACTTTAGGCAAATGAATAAATGTCAATCGGCATGTGGTAAAATATTTCATTGTTCTAAATTTGGACAACACCCCCATAAAAACATTTTGAAAGAAAAACAATTATGAATTTTGCCTGCGCTGTAGTATAGCTATATGCGGAGCACTGTGAATCGATGTATGACTTTTGACATGAGTAACAATGGGTCCAAAAACAGGGTACCAGAGGGATCCAGTTTTACTCCTTGCGATTTATTACCATTTTCACGCTTTCTTTATAACACGAGAAGGCGGTGCAACTTTAGTTTGAATAATTAACGCATGCAAATACATTGAGTTGACGACTTAGTTTTACCCACCACTGGATAATGACGCGATCATACCATTTTTGACACGTCTATGCAAGTCTTCTTTTTTTCTTTCGACTATTACTAAGGGTAATATGATATGTTATTTCCTTGATTTCGAGAGTTGTGTTTCTAGTTCTATTTTTTCCCCTTGTAAAGCAAACTAGTCCAAATTTTTCAACTTTATGAAGCTGGTAACGATAACAAAGTGTAGTTATGATGTGTCGCTAAATTTTGTTGCGTATAAAACTGCATCTTAAGGTGACCCTGGAACATCATCACCGTTTTTCTTATACGCCACTTTTACCCCCCTTGAATTAAACAAAACATCAGGAAATAAGCTCTATATCCTATACAGAAACTGATTTCTTTATCATTTATTTTCAAAGGGTCAAAGCGACACAGGACCAGTCGAAATTATTTGGGATTGGATTGGACGTATGCCAGTAATAGAAGTTTTTGTCATCAAGGCATTAGATATCCGCGGGGTTACACTTCAAAAAGCCTTTAAAGTATACCTGCGTCTGCAACAGCAATGTGTATGTTCCGAAAAGACCACAGAGAGTGGCGGCGAGATTTACTTTCGGGAGAAATTTCGACTTAATTATGACCCTAATCATTACACACGCGAAAATCGGCTTTTCGTTGAGCTGTGGAAGGAATCGTTTCTTAGCAACTTGTGCGTGTGTGTAGCGTGGGTTCAACTAGATACCCAAAACTTTGTTCGCGGAGAGCCTACTACCCTTAGCTTGCGCGGTAGATTCGAGGATTCGCAAGCTACCTTCATCGTTTCCATTGTGCCTATTGATTTTGGATCTGTTTCGCAACTTCCTTCCCAAGATGAGCAACCTGTGCTTGGTATTCCAATTTATATAAATAACTCACCTACCGTCAATTGTTCATTTGATAACCTTCCCGCAGTACCACCACAATATTCACCAGCCGATCCATCTCCCTGATACCGACAAGGGACAGACGTCGCAGACACCACGGGAGGACCTTTTATCACCGTTGACGACACTCTCTCCTTATATTTACTTTGTTCGCCTTTAACTTTATTTGATCCTTATTTTTTTTCGATTGTGTGTTTATGCTCTAAAATTCAAATAAAATCAAAAATATGAATTAGACGAAAACCAAATTTTGCAATAGCAAAGCTGACCTTGACGGATGAATTTTCAGGTGTTTTATTTTGAACCAAGGCCCGGCAGCTGAAGGATGAGACCCATGAGTGCACGGTTTGTTTTTCAGTATTTGAAAATGCACATGGTGTTATGTGCGCAAAGTGAAATTCTAAGCGTCATTTTTTTGTCCTCTCTATTTGCCATGTCAGATTAGAGTGAGGGCTCGTTGAAGGTAACTATGAAACCGTATGACTGTATCCTCTAGTTCTTGAATGCGTGCCCCCACCTCTGCCGGTATTATTGCAGGTGGGATCTGCGCCACATCAGTTTTTTGCCGTACCAACTGACTGCGCTCGAGATGAGGTGAATGATTCGTGTAAAGGGGATACGAGTCCGCCGGCTGTAGAGATAGGGACCCCCCCCCTAGGGGCTTAGGTTGAGGGTTTGTGCTGAAGTCACAAGGGTTGACTACAATAGCGGCCTTCTGTGCAGCCATGGGTGGCTGCACAGCTGTGTGTTGTGGATGCTGTTCCACTGTGATGCTGTTAATGCGTCTTAGCATCACCGACAAGACCGAGTTCGTGGGGATACGATAGTAACGCAATGTGGCCTTGTCAGATAGTTCTAGGTACCGCCATAGCAAGCGTACCTGCTGCGCAGTGGGGTTGCTTGCCGCCGGTTTTCTGCCCTCATCACCGTCGGCATGTCCGCGTCTATACGCTATTTCCTCACAGAGGAGCTTCTTTAGCTCCCACACTGTGTTAGACTCAGGACATGCAACCGGTACGACTTCATGTGTGCTGTTCAAGTGACAAACAAGGTTAAGCACTAAACCTCGTTTGATGGAGAACACTAAGCGGACATAGGGATCGCCCTTCAGGAGGAGACACCCATTTTCTCGCAGAGTGCGATCAGGGTTAATGGGACGACGGTTGTGTAGAAGTAACTGAACCTCAGGTTTCACTTTGAAGTAGTCTTCAATAGCCAGCTGGAGTACACGCACAGGCGTGTCGAGGTCGATTTCAGTGTCTAAATACTCACCGTGCACGTCGAATACACGCACAGGTGTGATATCGGTTAGCTGTATGGGTACATAGCTTGCGTCACCTGATGGAGGGAATACATTGTTCATGTCTTTCTGGGTACTAATTATTCTCCTATTTTGAGATGTAATGATAATTTTTCCCTTTTAAAAAATGTATAGAAACAGTTCTAAATATATATTTGTAAGGATCTGCGTTGTTTCCTTTTCCTATACGGCATAAAGCTCTAAGTTAAGAAGATGCTTAAAAACAACGTAGCCTTCACCAATAGGCATGTGGACAATTTTGAAGCTATCAGAAACAATTTTACGTGTTACAATGTTGTTATCTTCTTTTTTTGCATTATTCCACCAACACCAAAACTTATTAAGAAGTATCAACAGCTTTTTCTGATTATATTGGTCTTGTCCATTTTTCTTGACATCTTTCTTACTCCGTTTTATGTGCTCTAATTTAGGACCCTGTCAATTATGATATTCTTCTAATAGCACCCTCTCTAGTTCGCAAAGCGACGAGCGCGGGCTTCAAGTGCTTTGGTGTCCTTGTCCGACAGCTTCAGTTCTATCGGTGCTCCGAGGGTGTTCCCAGTGGGTGCAGCACCAAAGCGCTCCTGACGGCGTTGCATGGCAAGATCCATTTCAACCTGTTCTGTTGATTTGAAGCGCATCTCGCGGTGGCGCAATGTTTCTTCATCAACAATCATCGTAGGGCCATTGACAGCGGAGTCAACAACACCAGGGTCGACCAGGACGCCGAATCGTGCCGCTCTTTTGGCTAGCTCCTCGTGCAGGATAGAAAAGGGCTCTAGCTTCGCCTCAGCGCGCTGCCTCTCGGACTCCGTTAGCCCACCCACCAACCTCATGATCGCCTGCTTGGAAACACAACCAACACAAGAGTCAGATTCCCCATCTGCGCCTTTGCCGCCACGCCACCGGCGCACAGCTACAGTGGACTTGGGCTTACGAAAGATTCGATATAACCGATGGGTATTCTTTGGCTTGAGTGGTGTGGCTTGCTGCTGGGCGGCAAAGTCGCTTACTTGAGCAGCGCCTGTATGTAACATTTGTTATTATTTGTGTGTGTTGCAACTTTCTTTGGGGAATACGTGTATGTAAATCCGTTTGACTACAGATGAAAACTTGACACTCGCTCGTAAAAATAAAAAAAAGAACGTTTTTCTACATAGTAGTTGAAATTATTGCACACTTCCCTTTATCTGATATTTTTTTCCCCTGAGTGCTTATGGATTACAATGAAAGTTCCACTCAAAGAGTGGAAATATCTCTTTCTGCTACAATCCCGCTGTGTGGGCTTCGCGCATTAAAGTGCAATAAAAGCCTACGTCTAGCAGTACTGCAGCGATGTAATCAGGGCCCCCTCATCAATGTAATGCTCCATCTCTACAACAGCCTTCAGCTCTCTCATAAATATGAGTGGGCGATTTTTTCCATCAAACTTGGTGCCCGTAACGCAGGGCCTGATGCTGCGACATGTCGCATGGACTGTATCACGTAGTTCGACATGACCAAATGGCGAAACAGATGACATACGGTTCGCATAAGCCTCCAGGAGTTGGAGCACGGCGGAAGGCGGTTCTGGTCCAGACACATTTTTGTTGTTGTTGTTGTCGTCACGCCGTTGCTTATCAAGATGCCACTCGACAATTAGAAGCGGCTGGGGAGACTGAAAGAGATAGAGTAACCACTCTGCAAGATCATAGAGCACAGGCTCCTCAGCTGCCTCTGTTGATATAAAAGAAGCCAACCCATAGTTGTGGGTCGCTGCACCTGAAGGGCGGCCTGGGTGTGGTTGTGTCGGCGATGGCTCCTGCTGCGTTTTGGACACATTATGATAAGCGTGCGGGGACAACGAAAGAAAGCTTTGACGAATTGAAAGCAACTCCAGGGTCGCAATTCGCTCTAGCTGTATATGGAGTACAAGGGGCCCCATAGGGGCCAACAAGATAGCTTGTGCTACAATACCTGGACCCGTGTGGTGACCGCAGCTGACGGGTGGCCATGGCTGGTTTGTATGCAAATTGCAATAATTACTATGTATCCATCCTGCAGCAGAAGATGAGCTCGTGCTGACAGTGGACAGAGAGGTTGATAACGAAGCAGAGGTTGGCGATTCAACCTGGAACGGGTCTACCACAGAAATCTGAGGCGGGCTCGGATTGGCATTATAATAAGGACACACTTTCTGGGCGAGCGTACCCTGAACACAACTATCCATTGGGTGCAGGATAGTCTCTTCGTTGCCTCGTGTGGAACTAGCACCAATCAGATGTGTGACATCAGTAACAACTTGCGGTGATGTCAAAGGGGAACTTATAGCACAGTAATCCCTTGATTCTGCTGCACCTGTGGGGAATGCATCGGCTGTGGCATGATTAGTGTCCAAAGAGCTGCCTTGGTGTCGCCCTTGGTAACGTATAGGCGCCACCAAACACGCTATCCCTTGACCGTATTGCTTGTGGCCGCAAAAGACTTTACAACGCTGTGTTACGGTAAGTGAGGGCACACCGCCATCCATCAAGATAGCGTCACTAAGTAACACAGTGTTACAACTCGAACGCCTCAGTGCCGAAGATGTTAGACAATTGGTGTCGACGTCACAGCTTCGTCGCGTGGGCCTCGTTTGGGGTAGAGGACCCAACATCTTATGCAAAGCAGAGTCGACTTTTCGAAGGAAACGGCTGCTAGATTCATAGTCCTCGTTCCCGAGTTCATCCAGCCAACCAAAGTTGTGACAGTTCAACAACGTAAGCCGTGAAACTCCAGCTTGAGAAAAGTGCAATGGATGTGAAGTGGAGGCTGAGGACAAAAGCAATTCAGGCGTCTTTGTAGAGCCTTCTCTGACGTCCTTTGGCACCCTTATTCCTCCTTCGCTTTCCTCTTCATTTTCTAAAGGAGTGTTGGAGTGCTGCAGAATGCCGCTGCCAGTATTTTCGTTGGATGCATAGATGTCATGTCTCATGTGCATCGCGTGCTGCGGAACTAAGTGTACAGAACCGCGGTGATGAGTACTAAGAGGCTGGGACGTATGAAGTTGTGTAATAGCGCCATCCGCCCTGCTCTGTATGTAGGATGCCAACACAGCCAGAACACACCCCATCCAGGGCAATTCATCCTCCCCGCCACGTGGCACAGCGTATTGCCCATCATTAGTGAGCTTATGCCGGCCATAGGAAAGGAGAAGTTCCAGGGTAACCACCGAGATGTTTCGCACCGGCTCGAATATGTCTTGCAGGTTACCGTGTGCACACCAACAGGAACGCAAAATGTTAAACGTCTCGTGAACAGCCATGTCCACGGCAGACACGCCACCACCGTTGAAACTGTCACTGCGTGTGGCAACGGAATCTAGGTACATGTGAATCTCCTGTTGAATTGACCCAAAGGTGATATGGTCTACGCGACGATACCTACTTGCCATCGTATCTTCCCCCTCACGTTGTCTTACCCTATTTTCTACACGAATACACTGCTTCGGCGGTGAGCGCCCTGAGGAATGGGGAATGCCTGCATAAAAGCGTCCTTGAGGTGGTGGAGCACCAGCCATAGTTGTGTCTGTCCGATTATGTAGCCTCCAGTCTGCAGTCGGGGTATCAAGTAGGTCTAATCTGCAATTTGTCAAAGTAGGCCGCTTCATCTCGTAAGTTTCTCAGCACAAATTAATAGCCTTCGGATGGCTCGCTGGGTCTTGGACTTGGACCACACACTACCCCCTTCCTAAGATTTCTATAGGATGCCAAACAATCAAAACTAGTCAATCAGATACTTGAAAACTAAACAATCACAACGCTTTCAGACAAAGTAGATATGACTGGTGAAACCACATCTAGCAATATCATGACCATTGGAAAATGTTATAATGTAATAGAAGGAATGGGGGAAAAAAGTGAAAGTAAGAGTAGATGCACAATTCATACAGAGCATTGCTTCATATAACACAACGCATGCCGTTCCTTCGAGAGTAAAAATAACAGTACTGTATATGCAATTCAAAGCCGTAGGTGCACAAATGCGTGAGACAAAGCAAATGGATGAAAAGATGTTGGATAAGAAACAGCAGCAACGCCTCGTCAGAATTTTCAGATGCCATCGCCAACAGGTATTTCTAAAATTGGGTTTCAAAAGCGCCTTAGACATCTCTCTTGGCATGGGTTATTCCCCCAGTTTATTCTCTAAATAAAGAGAATAAATGGGATTTAGCGAAGGGGCGAATGAGACATGTACAAACTTTAATAGCGTCTATAGCGACGCAAAAAAAAAATAAGAAAACAATACCGGGTTAAACATGTAACTCTGTATTCTCAAAAAACGTTTATGATACACGCTAAAAATAGAAAATACAAAAAAACTGCATAATCGGTTGAAAACAAAAGTTGCAATGAAATATAAAAGCAAACCTTAATACTTCGTCTTGCTCATAGCAACGCAACAGTTAATTCATGTAATGAAATCTGACGAAGACATAAAGGAAAAGAAAAGTAAAAATGAAGTATTACGTACGCAATAAACGTTCTTTTTTATTATTTAACCTCCTTCCTTCTAGGAGTAAATCGTTGTAAGGGTGAATCTTGGGGGATTGCACACTTAGTGCGTGATCATTCCGTATTGTTACCAGCCCACACCCCAGTTTCCCTCCCAAATACATAATCCTCTTGCTGTGGAAGGAGCACAACAGTGAGTACTGCAGGGCATAATCCATTTATCAGCGTCAAGATCAGAACCACATACCACCCGGCTGCTATCCAAGACTTCAGACTTGTGTTGCCAACGCGACGATTCCATTGGACTGCAGGTGCATAACAACCAGAGGCATCTCTGTACCTTCCTCAGTCAACACTCAGCAACAGGTAGGTACGGAATGCCTCACGAGCGCCAATGTCGTTGTAGCATACGAATCATTGACACAAAAACATTGCAAAATGGTCGGTTATGGCCTTGTTATTGAGCTAGGACGGCAACCTTATGAAGAGTCACTTCATTAAACTGTATTCCAAAGGCAAAGCTTCTTGATGCGATTTCTTCGTGGGTAAGTCACTTAAGCTGTGCGGGAGTTAGCTCCTAATCTACGTGACATATTTAGATGGTGAGCCGTTGCCTCCAAATCAGAGATACACATGCTGCTGACAGTGAAATGTTACTAAAAAGAAATTACAATGTTCCACGCCAGTGAGGGAGGTCGTAGACATGCCTACTCCCCCCCTCCCCCCTCCCACTGACCTCTCTTCGACACATGTTAAAAGCGGTTTCAGTGATATCCACAGCTTGGCGTAGCTCAAAAACGGGATGCATTACGAAAACATGGAATTCATATAGACAATGTGTATTCACCAAACGATCCAAATGCGGCTCGGCTTTCGGTTCCGGCACTAGAGGTAATTCGATATCTTCGGAACTGACTATATCATAAAGATTGTATCGACGTTGAAAAAGCTTTGTTCCGACTCTTAAAATAAACTATGGTCAAGATAATATATATATATATATGAATTTATTTGAATGTACCAATAGAATTTGGTGACCATTAACACACTTGTCCCATGAAGCAGCAATGAAGGCAATCAGTCCAAAGAATGTTTCCAATGTTTTTCCCAGAGCCTGTGAGACCCCCTTTCTTTTCCTGTTGATCTCAGAATCACAAAAAAACGAGATCAATACGCCTCAGATGCAATAAAGTCACACGAATTTGCTTTATCCAAAATGAGAGGCGAAGGGGAGAGCGTGTTTCTTCTTTAAGATTCTCGAAACGTTTCATAGAGAAATGGTCAATAACGAGCAGAATTAATTTGATTGTGGGATAAAATTTTATTATAAACATTGGCGCACACTTAATAAAAAAAAGAAAAAAGAATCGAGCAATTCGAAATGACAAATAGATTAAAAAACGCAAAAGTTACCCAGCGATGGAAATACAAAAGGTTCAGAAAATGAACCAAGCAGATTTTACTAAATTCATTTGAGCTTCTATTTTTTTCACCGAAAGCAACCATGATACATTTATACATAATGTGAATACAAGGGAGGGAAGTATAGACGCATTTAACCCATCTTATATGCACACGATTGCCTTATTTCGTTCATCGCCTTCGGTGTTACGATCATTCAATGCTCTTCCATTTTCTTCATCTTGTATATACATTCTTTTGGAATAATAGGAGAAAGCCTATGGAATAAAAATGATTGCATGAAAACAGGATTTTGCCATCTTGAAAGCTACGATCAATAATCACTCCGCTGATATTCCTTTTCCTCCCTCCGTTCGGGAAACATTCATTTCCACAAGACTTTGCCTCCGGATCAAAGTATTAAACCTGTTGCAGGTGATAGTTTTCGATCTTCTCTACGAATGTTTGCGCGTATTCCGGTGAATAGTACTGCACAATCTCAGGCGGGTAGCATGCATTGATAACCTGAATGAACTCTGACAGTTGGCTACCTGGATCTGATTTAACACGCTGTACTATTGCAAGACCACGATTAGCCACGAACTCGCGTTTAGCCGCAATATCTGTTGGCAGTACCTTCGCATATTGCCCGCAGACGTAGGTAAGAATGTTAGCCGGCGCATCCGGATGCAGCAGAGGCTCCAACAAAGGTAAGTAGACACAGTGTTGTATGATATTTTTAAGCGCCCGCTTACTCTTCATGCGCAAATCATCAGAACTGTTAGGGTTCAGATAGATGTCCATAAGCTTCGGTAGCACACTGCAATCAGCAACCGCCTTTGCGTGCTCGGCGCTGTGCCGACCCACCTGCCCGAGTGACCATGCGGCCGCAGCTTTGATGTGGTCCTCCATTTCTTTCTCAAGCGCATCGGCTAATGGCAAAACACCGTGCGAGACGATCACAGCCAGCGCCAGTGTCTCAGAGAAAGCAGAAATATAGCCAAGGGTGATAATACCTGGAAGACGCGTACTGGACTTAGTTTCGGCCGTGTAATCAACCAACGCGCCGACGCCACCCGCATTCACAACCAGCTGCGCCAACTCTGGTGTATGCTTGGAAATTTCGCGAATGCATGTGGCGGCATTTTTGCGTACACCATCGTCCGTATCTTTGAGCAGTATGAAAATTTTCGGAAAGATCTCTCCCTCGACGACCAGCTCGGCCAGTTCGACACTGTGCTTCGCGATATGCGCTAGGCATTGACAGACTTGTCTCTTGAGTTTCGCGTCGCTGCTGCTGATGAGGGGGGCGAGATGGGTGACCGCATCCTGATCAACAAGCGCTTGCGCCAGCTCTGGCGAATGCTTCGCGATGTCGGAAAGGGTGGAGGCCGCAATCCGTTTTAGCGAGAGCTCTGGCTCTTGTATACATAATACCAGCGGTGGCACTGCCCCCCTGTCTACCACTTCCTGTGCGAGGTCCGTGTCGTGGCGTGCGACGTAGCCAAGCGCCCACGCTGCGCTCTCCTTGACGGTCGGGTCAAACTCATCAAGACAGCCTATAAGGGCTTCTACGGCCTGGCTTTCCACAACTGCTTGAGCCATTTGTGGTGAATGTCGTGCGACACTGCGCAACACGAAGGCGGCGGACTTTTTGTAAAAACGATTCTGATTCCCAAGGGAATACACCAGCTGCGCCAAAATGTCACCAGAGACCACATTTGCCGCAAGTTCCTCACTGTAATTCGCCAGCCGTCCAAGTGCGAGCGCTGCGGACTGTTGGATGGACGGCACACTATCCAGCAAGAGTGGTCGTAATAAGTGCATCACACCGGCCTGTTGCAAGGCTTCAATGTGCTGTGGCTTTGAGGCAAGATCGGCTACCGTCTGGACAAACTTAACCCTAGCCTTTTGGTACTCTTCAAACGTCTGAATTATCTGGCGATTCGACATGATGGAATCCCTTTTTTTATTACTGTTTTGCTATCTGCTTTAACGTGATATGTTCAGACTCCCCCTTCCTCCGATTACGGGAGAATATGATTATTAATATCAACTTTATTACTTTCTGCAGCTATGAACTATAGACTTAAACACTAAAACTATTTTCCGTCTATGATAAAGTCTTCCTAAACGTATGCTTAGACCTTTAACCCAAACCCTGCTCACTTCTATTCGAAGGAAAGAGATTGCCAACAAATATAGAAACATCCAGATTAACAACAACAAGTACACAATAGGGCGTCATGATATACCCCCCATGTATCACACTCAAATCTGAATCGCAAACAAAAAAGTGATCGATCCTTGCAGCACGAAAAAAGATAGTGTGCAGTGGATTGGTATCTTCATAATGATAAATCTTTAAAAAGATTACTACGTGGATTAATAACAGAAGTGAGAGGAACTACACATATCCCTTCCGAAAAACAAAAGGATTCGATAAAAAAAAAATCCTCAAATGTATCGTAGTTCCCTCTTTCGCTCCATAAGGTACAACTGCTCATTCATGTGTAGAAGCTCTACATCGTGTTGTACCTGCTGTTCGATAAGTTGCTGTCTCAGAGCAGCCAATTGCCTTTCAACTTTCGAATTCACCAATTCGGTGGTGGAATCGTTGATTACAGAAGGGATGGACCCCTGACTCATCAATGGGGACAACGCCTGCATGGTGCGGGGAAGGTCGGAAAACGGGGCCAACTGCGCCGATGATGCTATTCGGCCTCGCAGCTCCGGCGTGCTCCCGAAGAACTGCCCTGGCGCCGTACCAGTGCGGTCACCAAGCTGTAAACTAAAGGCCTCTCCTTTCTCAGTATCTTCATATCGATCTTGACCATTTAAGCAAAAGTCGATAACCGAGTTCTCTGTTCTAGAGATTAGAAGGGTAGAAGCCTTACTCTCGTTGGAAATAAGAACATCTTGCAAAGGCAAATTTCTTGCGCTCTTCATTTTACCCATTACATGAGTGAGACGGTCTCGCAGCTCTTGATTTTGGCGATATAGAATTTTAATCGTCGCTTCCGCTGTCATCAGCCTGCTCTGTAGCCCCTTAGACGTGAGATCCGCAGCTTCCCTTGGGGACGTAACCTTTTTGACTCGATTGTCAATGTCAATGGACTTGTTGAGATGTAGATTCGAAGGCGAAATAGTTGGCGACGATGAGTCCCCATGGGTAGAAGAGAGCACGGAAGATGTAGTGTCGACAGTTTTTCGAAGGGACTCAAAAAGACATAGTGCATGTTGAGCCTTATTACTATGTGAATTTGAGATGTCTAATGAAGCCTTTGTAGGAAAAGACGCTAGGTCAGCTGACTCTTGTATAGGTTCCACATATGTGTGGCAATGATCATGATTTTTCATTTCTAAATTAAACTATGTAGGATAAAATAAAAAGATCCGTATTTTTATGGAAAATGTGAGACAAACTTTGAGAGCCCTTCAACTCAAAAAAAAAGGCGGGGGGTCAAGAACTACGAAAAAGTGTAGCATATCAATACGAAAATGACAAAGCAATGAAAGAGGGTAAACTACAAGTATGAACTTTTTCCTCTTTTTACCGTTTACCAAGGTTAACTAACGCATGTGTGCTAACTGAGTCGATTAACAGAGAGCTAAAAAAAAATATCATAACGCCCTCATTTCTCTTCAAGTTGAATCCTATAACACTAGAACAATAATAACATTCGTAACTGTAAAGAAAACACCACAATATTTATGCAAATATTCAAACACACACAGACGCATATTCAATAAAAATATTTATTTTCTTATGACTAAAGAAATTGTTTCTAGTTATTTGTCCTCTTTTTCAAGCCCGACATACGATCTACGTGAGTCTAGTATCTAAAAGGGGAAAAAAATGCAGCGGCAGACCACCACCGCTAAGATTAGTCAATGGTGTGAATCAGAAAAAATGTATTAATCAAAGCAGATTCTGTTTTTCTAAGGATCATCATCTTGCTGTGCATAGTAGAAAGGAAAAGGAAGATCAAAGGAAAATCGTTCCAAACAGGAAAAGGCACCTCTGGACCCCTTTTTACCCTTGTACCAAAAGAAAAAAAATGAGGGGGGAAATTATACCGTAAAATAATAATAATGAAAGAATGATTTCTAATATTCTAATCTAAATAAAAAAAAATGATAAAGCCCAAATGTGTTCTTATTATATTAATTTCAGCGCCTTACTCCCACCCTCTAGATATCTACGTATCATCTCTTCCGCTATCTGCATTCGAATACAATCGATTTTTGCCAATTTATTAGGTTTCTGGCAACTTAAAAAGCGATCATGTGCGAGATTTGCGAGGAAAACAATACCCGTTAAATACCCAGCTTTATACCTGACGTGAAGAATAGAGGGAAAAGCTTCATGGACTGCAAATATGAAAGACATTGGATATTTAGAGGGAGCGAGGCGAAATAAGGAAAGAATATATTATAACATTTGAAATGTGATTATTGAAGCTTCCACTGATTATTTTACTATGAAAAATGAGCTAACGTGCACCTTAGTTATCGAAATAAAATTAGTTCTTAGACCCCTTCACTTGCGGCAAGGGCTTAGAATGTGCAGATCGAGCATGCATCCTTCCTATTTTTTGACCTTGACGATTACAACTGTTGTTGAGAGGGGAGGGCTTTGAAAGGGTTTCTGGATGTGGAGACGAAGAAAGATTATGCGTCTTATGACTAAGTTGCTGCATCGGAAATGACCCTGATTGGTTAGATACCCAATCAATATCGCGTTCATTGTTGTTGGTGACCTTATCCATTATTGTAGATGGCCTTACCCCTGCACAACGTTGCTGGGCCTTAAGCTTTGCTTCAATCTTGGTCGCAAACGGACTATTAACCAAGGCGGGCTTCAGACGGTCATATATTCGCTTCAGTTCCATCGGATGCTGAGAAGACTCAATAAGGGATTGCACTACGAAGTTGCCAAAGCCATCTGAAACCATCTCCTGCAGGGATGCAGGGTTGTATATAAGCTCGTCTAGAAGCATCCGCCTTACAGCCGGTACGTCGCCACAAAAGCGAATCACTTTCTCGACAACATTGCTGGCATACTTGTCACAACTCATACACAGTAAATGCCCCTCGAAGCAGTTTACAACGTACTGCGCAGCGACCATTTTGGTACTGTGCTCAATGGCACACTGGACAACATAGTTACCGTATGGATCGAGAGCAATATACGCCAAGGAGGGCAATAACGGTTCCATAATCAGTGCTTTACGGGGATTATCGCAGACTTCATATACTCGCATGAGGGAGATACAGCCTTGCTGAGTGGCTGCAAGATACGCAGCATTCCGTGACAAGACTGTCAGAACTAGCTGCAAATCTGCGCCACTGTTTAGATGTGTTTGAAAGAGCGATTGTATTGTGCGACGAGTATATTGAGACACGGTGCACATATTCAAAATGAGAGTTTCACTGAGGCACACAACAAGGGTCATTACCTGCTCCACAGAGCACTGTTCTACAACAGCACGGAGCAGGTGGCAGCCGTTGTTGTCAATCGCAATCTTGTTTAAGCCGGCCTCGCAGAACTCCTTCACAACACAATCCAACACGTCCGCATCACGGGCGCGCAACAAAGTCTGGAGGAAGCTCTTTCCTGATGAAGTACACGCCATGTCTGCGATGTGGCCCACAAAGCGCTGATGGAACTCTTCAAGAGATGGGCTATCGCTCACCATTGCGGTAGGAGCGATCACGCTCTCAGTTGGGGTGGTGCCCACATTAGAGACCGGGCCAGCCTCCAGCGTGGTCGTCCGCATTGACATCACGGGAACCGCGCTGATATTACGGAACACACCACCTTCTTCGCCCCTGCAGGCACTGGCCACCGGCGGTGTCGTAGTGGGTAGGACATTAGGGAGCGGGAAGAGGGGGAGTGGAAGTGGCATCGCTGGTGGACATCGTGCTTCGGCATCAACATTCATGAAATGATAGTAATAGGCCCTATAATATGCACATGTTGTGCAGGGGCATTTTGCACATGAATCTGGGCCGTTTTGTGTGGCAGCCGCTGCTGCAGCAAGGGCGGCCATTAGCATCATATGCTGTTGTTGATGCCGAGTAGCAATACAGGGCGCCCCACCGCCGCACGACCCCGGCATAGTTGGACATTCTTGTGTCTGTACTAGCCTTTGTGACGCACAGACGGGTGCAACACCGGCATAATCAAGGTGTTTCTGTCGCTGTGCGATGGCAACAGCGGTCGGATTACGCGGAGGACTGATGTAAGTTGCCAATACTGAAGGGTTAGTACTCTTCTTGAGATCTCCTGCTGTATCTGAGGCTACCGTGTTGACGTTAAGTTCACAAAGACTCATCTTATTAGTGAAAGGGTCAGGTTGTCAAATTAAACCTCGCCGATAGTGAAATGAAAAAAATGGATTTGTATGTATATATATATATATATATATATATT